GGAACCATTAGGACTGATGGGTTTGCTCAACTGGGGAACCCAGGCCATTGCCTCTCTGGGCTCGGCCTGAGTGTGGAGAGCTGCACCACATTGAAGTCATGGGGAGCGGGACTCCCAGGGGGCCTAAGCTGTTTAATGAAATCACTCATGGGTCTGGGATCCAGCCTCCTTCTGAGCTTCGGTATCAGCAGGGCCACTTGGCTAAGAGGGAGATGTAACTATGGACAAGATCATCAAAGTAAAATGACAGGCAGCTCCAGCTACATGGTCCTTAGTGTTCTGCTCAGTTACTCCAAACTTGGGGGAGGGAGGTACTGGTATCTTGACCTCCTTCCTGGTCCCCCACAATGGTGGGAAAGGGGGTGATGTTCAGCACTTTGTGTTGGATCCCTGTGTCTGTGATTTGACATTCTCTTAGGAACCCTCAGAAATAGCATGACCACAGCCATCAGCCAGAAGCTCTTCTCTTCTGGGTGAAAATGCCCCATGGTGAAGTCCCACTGCAGCCTATGCTGCTGCCCTGTGGCTATGTCCCTCTGCAGCCCAGGAAGCTGCCCCGTGCATATGTCCCACTGCAGCCCATGCTGCTGCCCCATGCATATGTCCCTCTGCAGCCCAGGCTGCTGTGATGGTGTTTGGGAAGTGCAGTTGCAATGAGATGAGTTTGGAGATACAACCTTGGAGATGTTGAAGGTTCTACAGGGAGGATGTAGGGGCTAAGTTCTCTCTAGCTCTTCCTCATTCTCAGAAGCTCACCCTTCCATACACCAGCATTGGATTCTCACCAATTGGTCAAGTAAAGTACAACAGTCATCATCATCAGCAGCAGCAGCAGCAGTATTAGATGACGCAAATAGCCAAAGAAGGCAGAAGACAAAACCACCTAATCTCCATGCAGGGAGTTGTCAAAGTTGGCGTGTGTAATGGCTAATCTTGTCAGCCTGATGGAGACACACCTGCGGATGTCTGTGAGGGTGTTTTCAGAGCCAGTTAGCAGAGAAGGAAAAACTCATCCTGAATGAGGATGACATCGTTCCACAAACTGGGGTCCTAGACTGAATGAAGAGGAAAAGCAGAGTGCCCGCATCCAGTTCTCGGACATCTGACCACGGATGCAGTAGGACCAGCAGCCTCAAGCTCCTGCTCCCGTGCCTTCCCCATTCAGATGGGTTGGATCCTCACACTGTGAGCCAAAGCAAACCTTCCCTTTCTAAGCTGCTTTTTGCCAGGCATTTTGTCACTCCGCTGGGAAAAGAAATTCATACATGTATCTTTCCAGACACAACATGAGATCATAATGTCCATGCTGGTTTGAAAGTGGCCTTCCAAACATAACCAATGACCTTGCGTGTCCCACAGCAAAGCCCAGATCCTGGTTTTTATTAATGACACTCTTCATTTTCTTGATTCTTGGTTATTGGCTATTGGTCTCTCCTTGTTTTTCCAGTACAAACAATACCATAACCACCACTGTAGCTACTCAGGGAAGCACATCCTAATTATTTACTCAAACTAAATTCCAAGAAGACAGGTATGACTGCAAATGGATTATTTCAGAAAACCCCTATTCCACATCCTTCTAAGCTGTAGAATCTATGGGGCTCTTGGCTTGGAGCAAATGGACCCAAATGAGAAGAGCAGACTTGAGTCTGTGCTTAGACGATCCCATAAATGGCCACTGAGGCAGCCTGAAGACTTGTTTACATCCCAGGGGTCACAGTCAGCTGTGACCTCTGCTCTACCCTACCTGCCCTGGGTAGCCAGGTCCTGACAGCACTGAATGCAGACATCAGCAAAACGGAAACAAGGGGGATTTAGCTGAATTTTAGTCATTGAGAAGATAAGCAGAGAACACCCAAATATTGTCTCCCCTGTGTTTTGTGAAAAGGCGGGATCCTGCTTCATTCCCGCTTCCCTACATGTCCTTAACTCCCTGCAGTTTGAGCTAGAAGGATACCATGTGCCTTCTCTGAGGCCTCTCAGCTATTCAGAATCCAGAGGGAGAGGGGCCAGAGGAGAGGGCTGAACCTTGGCTCAACTTCCAGAAGAAAAATAGGGACTCCACGGTTTCCTGCTAGACCCAACTTAGCGGACCAGCAAAGGCTGGAAACCCTCCAGGATGGGGTGGGCCCTCTGCTTGTCTTCCCAGAGGAGCACAGGGCTCCCTGACAAGGGATCAGTCCTTCAGTGTACCCCAAGACCCCGCATTGTCTAAGATGCACTTACACAGTCTCAGGCTCACCATGCATCCGATTACAAAGAACAGACTTAGACCCCAGAGATTCTGACTTCAAACATCCAGAATGAAACCCAAGTGCAGTACGATTTAAAAGAGTTAGTCACTGTGTAATCTATGTAGGTGATTTACTGGTCATGAATCACAAGAATGGGGAGCTTTATAAAGAACTGACCTGCACCAGGCCTGTGGCACACACCCACAATCCCAGCACTTTGGAGCTGAAGGCAAGAGGTTGACAGGTTCAAGGCCAGCTTTGCCTACATATTGAGTTTGAGGCCAACCTCGTCTACATGAGACTCTGTTTCAAAAACCTCAGGCAAAAGAAAAGAAATGACTGATAAATCCAAAGTCCTGCATGGTGAGAGTGGGGGTGTATTATATTGGGTGGGCAAGATGCTTGCAGCCAAGCCTCACGGCCCGAGTTCCATTCCCAGGACCCACGTGGCAGGTAGGAGAGAACTCAAGAGTTGCCGTCTCATTTCTATGCATGCACCTTGGTGCATTCACAGACATACAGCCAACAGATAAAATTACGTTTTTAAGGGAAGCGTTCTGTACCTTTTAAAAGATGGTCGTGCAGCAGGGACTCAAACAGTATGGTGAGGACTGTGGTTGTAGGAGGAGAATGTAAAAGGGGAGCAGGGGGGTGGACGGGCCAGTTGCTGCTGTTGGTCCAGACTGATGGAAGAGCCTTGGCATCAAATGATAACAAGGACGACAGTCATTTCCCAGCGGCAACAGGTGAGTGGCCCAGGACCTGCCTCACACACCTAAGTGCACAGATGTTCAAGTCTCGTAAAAATGGTATAATATTTGCACATTACATATTCACATCAGCCCACGTACATAACTTATTTGTGTAAAAGCATGTATGTGTGTGTGTGCCTGTGTACCTGAGAGAGATGTGTCTGCCTATGTGTGTCTGTGTTTGTATGTATGTGCATATGGATACAGACGTGTACTGTAATATGTATGTGGAGAGTCGGTCTTCACCTTCTGCCTTATTTGAGACAGGATCTCCGGTTCATTGCTGTATACCCCAGGCTAGCTTCTGGTGATTCTCCTGTCGCTGTATACCCCAGGCTAGCTTCTGGTGATTCTCCTGTCGCTGTATACCCCAGGCTAGCTTCTGGTGATTCTCCTGTCCCTGTATACCCCAGGCTAGCTTCTGGTGATTCTCCTGTCCCTGTATACCCCAGGCTAGCTTCTGGTGATTCTCCTGTCCCTGTATACCCCAGGCTAGCTTCTGGTGATTCTCCTGTCCCTGTATACCCCAGGCTAGCTTCTGGTGATTCTCCTGCCCTGTTTCTCATCTCCACACAGGGAATGCAGAAGCACACCCTGCCATGGCCCCATTTTTACATAGATTTGGAAGATCCAACCTGTGTGACAAGAACTTTACCTGCTGAGCAATCCCTCCATCCCATCTCATTTACTTTAAATCATTTAGATTATTTGTACTATTGTATCAACTACTTGTCTTGTTGCTGTGACAAAAATCTATACCAAAAGTGACTTAGGAGAGCGGGTTTGTTTTGGCTTCGTGGCAGTCTGTTGTGGCGAGGAAGGAGGAAGGCGTGTGGCGGGAACTTGAGGCAGCTGGTGACATCACATCCTCAGTCAGGAAGCAGAGAAGATCATCAGTGCTCGGCTGACTTCTGCACTAAAGCACTCTGGGAGCCCAGCCCATGGGACCCCACTGCCCTCATTCAGAGTGTGTCTACCCTTCTCAATTAGTCTAATCTAGAAAATTCCTTGTGACGTGCCAAGACATTTTTCTTTGCGGCGATTCTAGAGCCTGTCAAGTTGACAATCAGTACAAACCCTCCCAGACAACCTACTTCAACATAAATACAATGTACATGGTTGTTATGTCTAGGGAAGGACTATGAAACAGGTCCCATGCCAATGTAAAGGCTGTTTAAAAATCTACTCATGTCCAAGGTTGGCTAAGTCTCAGGGAAGAGAAGACACAGATACAGAGAGCTGCTTACTTATTTTACAGTAGGCAAAAGGTAAGGAGCTAAACCTGCCTATCTGCTACAGAGCTCAGAACCCTATTCATATGAGCGTATATGCAAATTATCTAAGGATGGAAAGGCTACTTAGCCTTATCATTCCTCCCTGGCCTGCTGTTAGATTGGAGTTCTGGATCTGCTTTGTGTTAGGAGGATGTCCCCGAGGGAATAGGATCCGTTATTATTGTTACTTGGTGGAAGCCAGGCTTTCCCAGGTCTGAACAGAATCCTGCTTCCCACCAACACGCCATTTGTTCACTGTGATTGGCCAATGGGGAGAACAAAGGATTCCAAGAGATGCTTACAGCTTTCCATCAACATGAGTGAGACATCCGCTCTTGCTAGGCTACAAGTAACTTACCAGGAGGCTGGCACAATGCCAAATGGGGTTCTAAGTCAGGGCCCAGCATCAGGACTTGCAGAGAATTCCCGCAAAGCTGAGTGGGAACCGATGGGCTGGTGGTAATTCAACTACTCTTTTCCGAAGGTCTTATCTTGCATGAGCCTGTCTCTGAGCTCCTCAATTCATCTGCTTTCGGAGTTTCCCTGCTTGGAACCCTTCTCAGTCCCCTTCCTCGGAGATTAACGATGTGCAGGGAAACAGAGAGACGCCCAGGGAGCCCAGGACCGAGGCCCTTCTGCAAAACAATCACCCTTTGAATACGCGGCTGCTCAGCCCGCCCAAACCCGCCTGCTTTGTACATTTCAGTTCGTGTATTAGAGTTTCTTAAAATAGGACTCACCGCTGAAGCTCACCCGGGCTCTGAGATAAAGCCTTGAGCTGGTCTGCAGGGAGCAGCCTGAGCCAGCTAGCTGTGGTGATGACGGGCCACGGCCTCATGCTGGGCTCTAAATCACGGTTAAAATCCCAGAGCTAAAAGCATCACCTCTCCTGGCACTTTCCATTCAAAAGCCATGCTGTATTTTTGTTTCCAATTATAGACGGAGAAAAATAAAAGCATCTGGAACTCGTTACTCTTCCGCAGCGTAACTCGCAGAAGGGAAAATAAGCTGTCTGTGAACCGCTCGGTGCAGTAGAGAAAGCAAGGACTCCAGAGCTAAGCCTTGCAGGGCTCCCCCACCCAGTCCCGGTGCAGCTCTGCAGCCCTTTGCAAACACATGGGGAGCAGGCTTTAGAATGGAAACCCTGAGGGCTCTCAGCTCCTGCAGGGACACAGCTCAGGGAGTATCGAAGTCACCCAACCGCTCTGCACGCTCTTCCCATTACTAATAGACAGCACTTGACCCCTGCCCAAGAACCTAAGCTCAGCAAGGTCAAGTCTCCTCCCCAGTCTGCAAAAAAGAGGCTGGGATCTCAGGCTTCCAGAAAACCAAGATTCCAGTGGGCGTTGTAAATAAAGCAGTCGGTGGGGAAGCACAGCATATCCTCTTTCATGCCACACAGAAGGACAGGAAAGCCTGTCTCCCTGTGGCCCCTTGACACAAAACCTAGCTGCTTTGGCAGGCCACACAGGCCCATCCTGATCTGCTTTCTGTCACCGCCTTGGACTCAGTCACCCTCCCTAAGCACATGTCCCCTGCCAGATGAGAACGTATTTCTCTAAACACTTTGCAGACGTTCATGCCTCTGCCTCGCCTTGAGAACCCCCTTTCTATCCACATCTGGACCGCTGTTCAGGCTTGCTCACACAGAGCAAAACATGTGTACAATCAGAACACACGTGGAAAATTCCATGTCAAGTTAGTTGGGCTCAGAACTCACTGACCCCCCCTCCGTGTGCCTCTCTGGAAACTGAGGAAACCAGCAAGGTCACCCTGTTTGGCAATGAGCATGCTGGCCGTGAAGAAACTCTCTGACCAACCTCCCCTAGAAATCAAGTCACAAGGCCTCAGTGGTGTCATGGTCCATACCTAGAGGCCATGGACACTACACGCTGCCCTACTAGATTCAACAGACAGGCCCTAGAGGTTCCGCCTTCCTGTGTTAATTGTCATTGTGTCATATTCCCATTCTGTCCAGTTAGACATGTACACCGTCACTTTTTTTCATGCTTAGTTTGAGGGCTTAGGCCTTCATTTCTGGAGGCTTCCGTGTATTCTAAAACGTTGGTTAAATGGATGTTCTGTACTTTCCTGCTAACCTGGGATAACGCCACAAGAGAAAGACACGGAGCCTTCTCTCCCACAGTAAGCATCCAGTCCATGCGGAGAAGAGCGGAGGCCCTTGCCCTCATCTGATTTGCTGTATTCTCAGTTGATGCTCTGATATATCTGGTACTGAAAGGTGTCTTTGCTTCCAAAGGCAGCTGCAACAAACCTTCACAGACTCAGAGGCCGACACGACACAAATTATTAACTTGTTGTTTTTGCAGTGTTTGATTAGGCAAACATTCTCTACCCTTGAGCCACCTCCTACAAAGTTATTATCATACAATTCTGTAGTCCAACATGGATCTAAATGGGCTAAAATCGGGGTGTCAAAGGGGCTTCATGACCTCACAAACTGTTTCACCTCCACAAGGCCGTGAGCTTTCCTGGGCTCGCAGCCCCGTCCTCTACCTTGAAGTCAGCAACTGTGCTAGGGTCCGCCGCATTGCCTGCGTCAGCTCCTCTGTGCTGTTCTGGTCTGTTCTGTTTGGTTCTATTGGGTCACATGCTAACCCAAGCTGGCCTAGAACTCACTATGTAGTATGAGCCACCACAGCTTGGTCTTGGAGGCTCCCTTCTGCCCGGCTCCTCATCTCTTAAAGTCACAGAGGCTACACGAAGCCCTCAGGCGGTGTGGCATGCTCTGTTTGAAAGGGCCATCTGCTGTGACCTCCCTCCGTGCGGCTTTACCATGTAACATGATATCATCTTTCCCTTGCAGACATCTTGCGGTGAAAGGGTAATTTTTTCTGTCTCGTTCAGAAACTACAGCGAGCAGGGGGATGCTGTCATTCTCAACAAGGGAACATTGCTTCAGAGCCTTCATTACAAACAAGGCAGGGTTAGTAACTCCTTCTCTCTTTCTTCTATTTCTTTTGCACTTTATAAAAGCCTCTCTGACAACATTTAACATCATTAAAGCAGTGCCTGTCAGAGTGCAGGCACATAATACTTGATATTTTCATTTAGTCGTTTTGCCTTGTAGCAATTATGCATTGGTTTTAATGTGTCTCTGGAACTTTTAAGTAACCTATCCAATTTCTAACAGGATCCTTCCTTTTGCATTAACCTGATTTAAGTTTGTGAAGACTGAGATTCAAGAAAACTTGAATTAGCAGCACGTGTTGTATAGACCAAGAAGAAGAGGGAGAGGGAGAAAAAGAAGGGGAGGAGAGAGAGACCACAGGAGGAAGAAAGTGTAGATGGGATTTAATGACTGCCGTGTAGAAAAAAGTCACCTGGTTTGTGTTGTTGTTCAGGGAAACGCTGAACTCCTTAAGGACAAAGATTTATCCATTTTCTAAAGAAAATGTGGCACGTTTACACACTGGAGCACTACTCAGTGGTAAAAAGCAACAAATCTTGAAATTTGCATGCAAACATGCAAATGAATAGATCTAGAAATAAACTTCCTGAGTGAGGTAACCCAGACCCAGAAAGATAAACATGGTATGTACTCCCTCATAAGTGGATACTAGCTGTAAAGCAAAGGACATTGAACCTACAGTTCATGATCTTAGAGAAGCTGAGAAACAAGGTGAACTCTAAGAAAAACATACAGAGATCCACCTGGAAAAGGGAAATAGACAAGATCACCTGACAAAATTGGGGACATAGGGGTGGGGGGTGGAAAGGAAGGTGGAAGGGAAAGAGGAGGGGAGAAGGGGAGGGGGAGGTGAACTTGAGGGAATGGGATAGTCGAGATGGAGGAAGGACAGAGATGAGAGCAAGGAAAAAGATATTTTGATTGAGGGAGCCATTGTGGTGCTAGCAAGAAACCTGGCACTAGAGAAATTCCCAGGAATCCACAAGGATGACCCCAGCTAAGACCCTAAGCAATAGAGGAGAAGGTGCCTGAACTGGCCTTGCCCTGTAGTCAGACTGATGAATATCTTAAATGTCAACATAGACCATTCACCAAGAGACTCATGGAAACAGGCAGAGAACCACAGCAGAGCACTGGGCTGAGTTCCCAAAGTCCAGGTGAAGAGTGGAAGGAATGAGAATATGAGCAAAGAGGTCAAGACCATGATGGATTCATCCACTGAAACAGTTTACCTGAGCTAATGGGAGCTCACCAACTCCAGCCAGACAGGGAAGGAACCAGCATAGGACCAAACTAGTCCCTCTGAATGTGGGTGTCAGTTGTATGGCTGGGGCAGACTGTGGGGCCACTGGCAGAGGCACCAGGATTTAACCCTACTGCTTCTATTGGCTTTTTGGGAACCCATTCTCTTTGGATGATACCTTGCTCAGACTACTATAGTAGGGAGGGCCTTGGACCTTCCCCAGAGCTATGAGTCTTACCCTCTCTGAGGAGTGGATGGGAGCTGGAGAGTAGGTGGAGGGAATGGGAGGAGAGGAGGGAGAGGGAACTGGGATTGGTATGTAAAATAAAAAAGATAGTTTGTTTTCTTTTTAAAAAAATAAATTAAATTTAGGAAAAGATGTGTCCATTTTCTCATTATTGGATCCCTGGGTGCCTGAAAAGTTGAAGTTTCCCAACCTAGGCACACACACACACACACACACACACACACACACACACACACCATTGTTCACTGAGCATTTGCTAAAGTGGGCTGATTAATGAATGTCCTTGGAACCTGGACCTGTCGGTTCACAAATCATATTGAATGAATGAGGGACTAAGGCGGCTTATGCATGGGCTTGAGGTGTATGCAGATCTATCCCTTCTGAATTAACTCCAGGTTATGAAAAATGTCGCTAAAGTAACAGCCAATCACTGGGTGGTAGTTCTTTTATTTTTTTCTAGTGGAACTTTCCTGTATTGTTCACTCTCTAGGAAATGTTACATGAGGGAAGAAACCTCAGAGACAAAACGTGGCCGAACTCAGGTCCCTGCTAGTGGATAACAAGTGAGACTTACCACAGCAGGGTGGAAGCTGACGTGCACACACGACCGCCATCTTTTCCCTCCTGGGTCCGGGGTCTTAATAATAAAAGTGTTCTAGTTTGGTGGTTGTGTCCTAAATTACATAGCTATCATTTGGATAGGAAGTGTCTCCTATCCCCTGCCCCAATATGCATGTATTACAGGCCTGGTCTCCAGCTAGTGGAAGCATTTTGAAAGTGTTTGAAACTTTATGTGGTGGAGTAAGTCACAGAAACTGGTCTTTGAAGCTCATCTATCTATAAACTTATCTGTCTATCTGTCTGTCTGTCTATCTCTATCTATGTCTGTCTGTCTGCCTATCTATCTATCTATCTATCTATCTATCTATCTATCTACCTATCTATCTCTGTCTATCTATCTATCTACCTATCTCTATCTATCTATCTATCTCTGTCTATCTATCTATCTATCTATCTCTGTCTATCTATCTACCTATCTATCTCTGTCTATCTATCTATCTATCTCTGTCTATCTATCTATCTACCTATCTATCTATATCTATCTATCTATCTATCTATCTATCTATCTATGTCCATCTATCTATCTACCTATCTATCTCTGTCTATCTATCTACCTATCTATCTATCTATCTATCCATCTATCTATCTACCTATCTCTATCTATCTATCTATCTATCTATCTATCTATGTCCATCTATCTATCTACCTATCTATATCTATCTATCTATCTCTGTCTATCTATCTATCTCTGTCTATCTATCTATCTCTGTCTATCTATCTATCTATCTATCTATCTATCTATCTATCTATCTATTTCTATCTACCCATCTACCAATCTATCTACTATCTATCTCTCATTATTCTCCAACCAGCATGAGGTAAGTACCTTCTATGACATGCTCCCTCCATCACGTTCTGCCTCATCACAAGCCCATGGCCATTATAGCCAAAGACTGTTCAGACTACAGACTGATCCCTCTGAAGAT